GTGTGTACTGCAGTATTTACACTGTGTGTACTGCAGTATTCACACTGTGTGTACTGCAGTATTTACACTGTGTGTACTGCAGTATTCACACTGTGTGTACTGCAGTATTCACACTGTGTGTACTGCAGTATTTACACTGTGTGTACTGCAGTACTTCCTGTGTTTTCTGACTGAGTCCAGTCTGGATCTGCAGTCCGGGTCAGGCTCTGGGTGTGTCCACAGGCTGGTCCAGGACCTGCTCCCACTCATCAACCCGTCAGTCTGCAGACACGTGACCCAGATCCTCCACAGCTGAGTCCTTCAGCCACAGACCGCCACGGACCCTCTGAGACCACAGACCCCTACAGACCCTCTGAGACCACGGACCCTCTGAGACCACAGACCCTCTGAGACCACAGACCCCCACAGACCCTCTGAGGTGAGTTAAGGCTTTAAGGATGGAGAATTAAATCAGTTTGACATTTAGTTGCTGACATCAGCTGAAATGTGTAAAAGTCCAACATTCTGTAGCTGCAGCTTCAAACAGCTGAAACCATCAGGAAGAGTTGGTTTTAGTCTCTGACTGGGACCAGTCCCTCCATCAGAGGGTTGATTTAAAATAAAGATCAAACAGGAGAAAAGATCAAGTTTCTGTTKAAATAAAAAACAATGATGTCAGTGTTTGAAATGAAACATTAACCAGGGTTTCCTCTGGTCCACCTGGACTAACTCACCTGAGAGACAGGAAGTGATGTGGACAGGTAAACACTCACCTGAACTCAGCTGGGATTCTTGTTGGACAAATAAAACCTAATTAAAGGATAAATAAACTGAAACAAACAAACAGGATGTTTGTTGTTTATAATCTTTGTTTGTTTCAGGATCAAAGCAGGATTTAATGACAGTTTAAAGATGTTTATTTATTAATAAACAGCTGATGTTTATATTTGTTGTTTATTTCAGGATCAAAGCAGGATTTAATGACAGTTTAAAGATAAATATAATGTTTATTAAAAAGGAGCTGATGTTTATATGTGTTGTTGTTTGTTTCAGGACCAGCTGGATTGTGTCGGCTCTTTGTTTGTTTGTTTGTTTGTGTTTTTCAGAGGTAAACAGTGAAGTCAGGCTGCTCTGGTCCCCATTGTGCTGGTCTCCATGGTAACGGCCCAGCCTCCACCGCTGGTTTTGTTCCCGCCTCTGGCCTCTCTTTGATTTCTTTCAACGGCTCGTCTCCATTCAGCCGTCAGAACCGGCTGACCCGTCGGTGCTTCAGAACCGGGTCGGTCGGCTCGTCGCTGTTGTCTGTGGATGGAGGCGTCGGCCACCGGAGCCCCCGGGATGTCGGCTCAGCGCCGCCCCCGCTCCGCGAAGACTCGGAGGTGGGGGGGCCTGAGGCAGCAGTGGAAACTTCTGGGTCTGTTTGAGATCGATCAGAACCACGAGTTCTACGGGCTGACCTGCATGATGAAGGAGGGGCTGGCTGCAGCCATCCAGAACACAGCCAGCTGCCCCCCCATGGTGAGCACCCCCCCTTCCAGGTGTTTAACAGCTGCAGACAGGAGATTATTTAATCTGTAGAAATTATTTCATTTAAAGTCTGAACTCAGATTTTATCAAACAGAAACAAAAACTGAGATTTAAAACAATAACATGAAAAATAACAGTTCAACGTTTTGCTTAAAGTCTGAAAGACTGCTGTAATATCTGCTGAATATCTGCTGAAGATCAGCTGAATATCTGCTGAATATCTGCTGAAGATCAGCTGAATATCTGCTGAATATCTGCTGAAGATCAGCTGAATATCTGCTGAATATCTGCTGAATATCTGCTG